AACAACAACAACAACAACAACAACAACAACAACAACAACAACAACAACAACAACAACAACAACAACAACAACAACAACAACAACAACAACAACAAACAAGGGGCCAACATCACGAGGAAAACAAAAAGACAAGAGGCAGTGGCAAGGATGGGGGGGCAGATGTATGAGCAAAGACGATAATTCACTCCTTGCGGCTGGACCCCATCAGAACAAGGCCAGCGGACTGGGGGGAGGGAGTCAAGACAACGAAACCGCTCAAACGAAAATGCAACAGAAGAAAAAAACGGCAAACCGACGGGATAGGCTTAGATTGTACACGCACGCACGCACGAGCTTGAAGAAACACAAAGGTGGAATCGGTAGGAAATGGTAAGCGGCGTGGGTTGTGGTATTTCCAATTTAGCAGGCCCTCATTGAAAAGTGAGCCAGTCAGCTGTTTGGGATCTCATGAGCTGTTGTTGCTGCTGTTGCTACTCCTACAACAGTGGCGTTGCTGCGGCCGCTTCTGCCGCCGCCACTGCCGCTACTGCTGTCAAAAGTAAACCGTCTAAGTCCTACCTCCAAGTTAATGATAGTGTCATTCTATCGTCAGTTGACGAACCTGCTTGGTGATGACGTTATGCCGCTCCTCCGACGAGGACTTGACGTAGAACTCCGCCTTCGCCTGGCGGACACGACGCACCCGGACACAGAGCAACACCGTAAAAAATAGAAGTTCGGTTGGTACATGTGAGGCGAGCTCAAGAAACACGGAGACATGGGGAAAAAAATGGTTTGGCCCACGTGAGGCGGGGCTCACGAATCACACAAAACACGAAAAAACAAAGCACAATTCCCCCGCTGGACGAGACTAAAGGAAACACACACACACGAACAGACGCAGGCACGAGGAGGGAAAAGAAGCGCCCACCGTAAGGACAAGAGCTGCAAACGACACCCACGACGCACCATGTTGCATGCAGGCAGAGCTTTCGCGTCTAGTCGACTCGAGATGCAGATCGATCAACGAAGACGGCTTGTACACAACGCTACAAAGACAAAACACACACACACACACACCTACCAGCTCACAAAAGTAGCGATACCAGCAAATCCCACTGATCCCAAAAAAACTTGCAACGGGTTTTCCAAACCTATCTCTGTTCTCGCTCCAGCTACGGCTACAGTTGTACACGGCTTGCATCCAGGGCCTTGTGCACAACACGCCGCTTCTCGCCAAACCACGCGAGCGACTCGCCAGCAAGAGAATCGAGAGACTACAAAGGCACGCACCGAGGGCACTATCCCGTAGGACGACCGCAGCGACCGGCCGGCGTGGATGGCCGCCTTGACCGCCGACATGTTCTTTTCGGCCGCGGGGTTGGCGAAGCGCTCGTCCGCTTGGGGGTAGGGTGCCACCATGATCGACGGGGCCTCTTCCGGGCCTGACAGGAGCGAGAACGGCGGCGGCGGCGGCGGCGGCGGCGGCGACACGCGTCATGGGGTGACGTGTGCTGGATGGGTATATACCTGAAAAGGTCTGGTCCAACCGGGTTTAGGGTGGGCGGGTAAGCCGGGACAGGTAGAGGGACGACCAGGAGGGAGAGCGAAATGCATGGGTGACCGCACGGAAGACAACCACAAGAAAAACCACAAAACATTATCAACAGCCCAGCAGCAGCAGTAACAGCAGCAGCTGGCGATAAGGTTTCCCACCCCATGGGGTTTGATAACAGCTGCACAGCACACACGACACACGCCATGGCCAAGGTTACTGGCGACATGACTGATCGAAGCGGTCAGAAGCGGTCATTTACGAGGCCTGTGTAAGAACGCAAGACGGGTAGTACTGAAACAAAAAAAAATTATCCTTCACCCTACACCCATGTTGTTGCTCTCACCCATGCTCCCCCTCCCCGGGAGCCGCTGCCACAGCTCCTCAGTGACGAAGGGCATGATGGGGTGGATCAGCTTCAGGCCGTAGTCCAAGCAGAGGTACAGGCACGACTGCGCCATGGAGCGTGCCTGGAGGCGGGTAGCAGCGCAACCCCGACAAACATGACGGCAAGTTCGAAATCGATCGAACGTTCGTGCGCGGCCAGAGAGAAGACGGGGAGTAACGGAGGAANGGGGGGGGGGGGGGGGGGGGGGGGGGGGGGGGGGGGCGGCATATGATCAACTGCGCGATCAAACCCATGCTAACAGCGCACACACGCACGCGCGTAGGACTGAACGCTGGTCGAGTAAGCCCGAGGCACGCTTATCCAAAGCTGAAAACCGCGTGAGCGTGACGCCATCGATGTCCACCGGCGCGGGCTTGTGGGTGGTTTCAGGCCTCCTTCTTTACACCCCACCGCCCTAACACCGGAAGCCAAGGGCGTGAAAGCGTATGTTGAGTACGGCCTTGTACTCGCCAGTGAAATCGCTGCCAATCAACATGGAGGAAGCCAAAGGAAGTAGCAGGAAAAGAAAAACGCGAAAATCCCACGGGATATCCCCATTAAACTTTGGAGGACAGAAACCAATAGGTTTGAAGACACCCATCATCGACAAAAACTGACAAACCATCAAAATAGAGTATGTCGCTTTCTCCGTGCCGAGCACACCCACTGACCCGCGGTTTCTCGTCTAGTCGAAAGACAAGAGGGCTTCTACAAGAGCAAACCGACGACAGCAGGTGTTATACAAAAGGCGGCCGACTAGATTGTGTTCTCTCTCTNTCTCTCTCTCTCTCTCTCTCTCTCTCTCTCTCTCTCTCTCTCTCTCTCTCTCTCTCTCTCTTTCTCTCCACCTTTTTGTTTCCTTCGCTCGTGTCGCCGACGACGGGCTTGATGAGCTCGAGGTAGTAGTCGCAAAGGTCGTACAGCCAGAACGAGTACGCCACCTGGGTAGCGTCGCCAAACCTGGAGACATCGACAGGGGTATGTACAAGAGACAAGGGTGAAAACGACGACGACCACCACCCACCAAGATGACAGCAACATCGTTCGCCAACGGATAATGGAGATGAGAAATACACTTCGCCGCAGAAACAAGGGACACGCAAAATGAGCCGGACGAGACTCGCGTCGTCAAATCCGGAGACAGTGCATGCTGAAACAGAAAAGACGTTGGCTGTTACGCACCAATCGTAACGAAATTGTCACCACCTCGTCAGCTGGAAACCCGGCAACTCAACATCAACACAACAACAGCAATAACTCGGGGACCCACAGTGAGCAAGAACCCGCAGCACGCGGACCTGTCGGCGTGTCACACGTTGTGCTGGGGAAAAAAACGAAAACAATCAGACGCATCGGCACCATCCACTCTTCGCGGCAACGCCGGTTGGGCGAAACCACCCCATGCGTCGCATCGCCGAGTAGCGGGGGAATATGCACTGTACTCGAACTCCTCCATTGCACACACCTAGTGCGGGAAAACAACGAATGACTTTCTCGTAGCGTCCGTTCTCCATCCGCTTCGTATCCAAAGCGAAACATTCAGACCGACACAGCCGATAGCACGACCTTCTCTCGAAAAACATTGACAGCAGTGTAGCGCCAGCGATTCAGAAAACGAACCGCGTCCGAAAAAACACCCACGAAAGAAGCGGCAACGAGAACCGAAAATCTCGAAACATCTCCACCCCACATCCCACACAGACAACAGGCGCTCAGCACAGCGCAGCGCAGTAGAGCAGAGCAGAGCAGAGCAGAGCACAGCACAGCACAGCACAGCACAGCACAGCACAGCACAGCACAGCACAGCACAGCACAGCACAGCACAGCACAGCACAGCACAGCACGGCACAGCACCGGGTGCCTCATCTTCTCCATCGCGCTCGCCAACTCACTTGTATTCCTCCAGACATCGGTTGCACTCTGCGACGGCCACGTTAAGCCTCGACAAGATCCAACGGTCCCTTGGCGCCGCCGAATCCAACGACTACAAAGACACAGGACGGAGCGGGACGGAGCGGGACGGCCATAACGGACGGGGGCAGCCAGGCACGCCGACGACACACACACGGGCATGTGGATGTCGTCAGTCACTTGCTCAGCGCTACAGAGGGTTAAACGGCCACTCGCAACGCATCGGGCGATCGCTCCCGCAGCAGCCATGGCGATGGCACAAACAAGAACGGAGAATGAGAAAAACCTTAGATGGGTTGTATCGAGAGGTAGATATTTACACCATACGAAGGTCCTCTTGAGGTTGAAAGCTACATCTACAATTTTCACACCCGCGAGCGCGAAAATAGTCATTGAGGGAGAGAGGGACTCACACGGGCCGTCGATACACCACACGAAGGTCCTCTTGAGGTTGAAAGCTAAATCTAAGAAAATCACGCGCGCGAGCGCGAAAGTAGGCATTGAAGGGGATAGGGACTCACTCACACGAGCCGTCTTCCTAGTTGTCTTGCGGCATAAATGAAAAAAAGCAACCAACTACCAGATGCCAACTTCCCTGTCGTATGCATACGCACACACTTTCCTCATCTGCCCCGACGCCACTGCTGTCTCGAGAACCGACACGTTAACAGCCGCAGGTGTTGCATACAAAATGGCCAACGCCGACAAAAAAAAAAGGGGGGATGTTCCGGCGGGAGGGCAAAATCAGAACAACCTTCCTTTCTCGTGGCTCGTCCGTGTTTTTATCCAGTACCCTTTGCAGGGTTTAAGCAAACATGTTGGATGAAGCACGCAATTCGCAGGGTTGAAGCAAAACAGGTGGACAAAGAATGTCATTCGCGCTTAAAGCAAAACATGTTGGATGAAGCATGCAATCGGGCGGGTTGAAGCAAACATGACGGATAAAGAATGCAATCGGAGAAGTTGAGCTAGGGTTTGGGCTAGGGATACGGTCTGCATACCCCGTCCCTGTGCTATTTCCTCAACAACAAAAAACGATTTTCTCGCGGAGAGCGGTCGGTGCTTCTTTTATCTCACCGCGATGAGCTCCGACGCCAGGTCTAGCGGCGGGCTGGCGTCCGTGAGGTACGTCAAGGCGAAGCGGACGGCGTTCCAGAGCTTGTTACAGAAGTTGCGGTAGCCGACCACGCGGGAGATGTCCAGGTTCACGTCTCGGCCCTTCGTAGGCGCACGACAAAAATCCAAGTAAAAAAAAAAAAAAAGGGCAATGCAAGGCGCGTCTCCGCAGTGGGTTCATCAGAGAATAGTCATCAAGGCGTGCTGCAAGATGAAAGTAAAGCACGTGTTGGGTGTGAATCAGCTACCAGCTGCGGTCAGTGACCTTTCCCAAGTTCAAGCAGCTCAGCAGCTGATGTGCTTTTGACTCGAAGAGCCCAGCGAACCTCGATGACCCAAAACGAAAAAAATGCAAAAATCTGTATATTGTAGTCTAAACCCTTTTGGGTCTACAGGCGCCCTGACTGATCATTGATTGATCACTTGCAAATGATGGTGTCGTGGCATGCCATGGAGTCGTTGTCCTGTATCCCTCCACGCCAGGTGTTGGCAAGTCAATAGGTAGGTAACTCTTATTATTCGCATCGACCGCGCTACCCGGTGACCAGTGCAAAGACGTCACAGCAGTGCCAGCGGGTAATATCAGGTCCCTGGAACGGCCAAATTCGAAAAATGTACACTGCTCTAAATGCAAATGCCACCATGAATGTCTTGCCATATCCTTTCACAGAGGCACACATCAATAGCTCCACATACATGCCCTCGCCCGAATCTAGGAAGCCACTCAAGAAAAGACAGGATGACAGCGAATAGGGGCACTTCAAGCCCAACCAGGCCAGGATATGATCGTGGAATGCTGCGTATCCTCCAAATTTGAAAATCGTACACTCCCAAGATCCAGCGGTCATGGTGTCAGCAGCTATACTATACAGTAGCAGCAGTATAGACGAGTCCAACAAACAGTGCTGTAGTATCACGTACACTAACATCATAGCCCTACACATACCCTCGCCCAAACCTAAAGAGCCACTGATGCAAAGGTAGGTGTGTGCTGTGGTGTGCCTGCGTGCCTGTGGGAATTGTGGGATGATCACAGGAGCTGTAGTGAGCCGACAGGGCTCATATTGGGGAGGGGACAGAGAAGTACAGAAGTACATACAAGAACCAGCGATGGGTCTACGAGCCCTCTCACTGATCGTTTTCACTGATCATTTGAATATACTGAAAAAAGAATAGTTTAGGCTGCTTGACAACTGATCTTTTCGAGGTCTCAAGCCTAACCTGCCCTACCGGCCGCACCGCTACCGCACATCAACCCTTCAATGACCCTGTATGTGCCCACCGTCCTGTCGCGGGCAGCCCTCATGGCCTATGGGTGAAGATAGCTGCGCCGTCTACAGAATTTCACACGTCTCTTTCTGCTGTACTTCTCAGAACTTCTGTCTCTCTCTCCCGCATTCTCTCCTCCTCCCAATGGTTTTTTTGCCGAAAAAAAATAAGAGCTAGACCCAAAGGGGTTAAATGCATATCGTAGATACAAGCGATCCTTCCCGAGTGGGCTCATGAGGGCACACCAGTGTCATCAAGGGGTGATGTAGGATGAAAACACAAGCAGGCAAGGATGCAGGATCAGCCCACCGACGCCGGCTGCCAGGCTGCCATTTGTGACGTTTCCCAGGCTCAGCAGCTCACACAACTGACGGATATTTTACTCCAATAGCCCAGCGAACCGCAACAAACAACAAAGAAAATAATACAAATCTGAAGACTTAATAAACGGTGTTATACATGAAGACATCGCACAACACAAGTAGGCAGGAGGCCCTCGACCACATGAGTGTACGAGGGGATGTGTGAAACCATCAAGGGTGTAGCGCTTGATCGGGGCAACCACATCGTCGCTGTCTTCGCAAAAAACACGATTTCAGCACCTGCACCAACACTTGCGACGACGGCGACAAATACCAGCTGACATCACTGCTCGAAATTTCAAGCGTACAGGTTAAAAATCGACTAACAAGTAAGACCAGTATCCGTCAGGTTTTTGCCCCCATTCACTGAAAAGACTTCAATCTATCTCCTTCGACTTCTGCTGTGGTTTTACCTCCAACGGGTAGTCTTTCTGTGATAGTATGTACGTATGTTTCCTAAATACACCACTTTGACAGCCCCCAGCGGCATAAACACCTGGACCGTGTAGGCGAGGAGGCCGAAGCGGAGAGCGTCGGCCCCGCACTCCGGGATGCCCTTGGGGAAGTCCATCTTCTGACCCTCCTTCGCCTGCTCATGACGGACGGTTCCAACGATCGTGAGCAAAACGCGGAGTCAAGCACCCAAGGCAAGCAAGCAAGTGCACGCACTCAAAACGATGCCATGTGAACAACCAACCTTCGCCCAGACGCCAGCATCGTCTCGGTTGAAGTGCAGCATTAAGACAGGCAGGGAAAAAAACGTCTTCCACGAAAGCAAACGGGCTAACGTAAGGCTTAAAGTGCCAATCAATATTCCGCACCATCAACGGTCAAGGAATCTGGGTGGGTATCACGCAAAGCGGCCGGACAAAAAGCGAGACCGTACATCATCCACCGAGCGTCCTACAAGTGAGAGAGACGGCTGCGTCGTACCATACTGCTCTAGGCTTCAGAGACGCAACGAACCGGTTCTGTGAAGCTATGGCATGGTTTTCGACAGAAAGACACATTCAATACTAAACGAGAACTTTTACTGTGTTCAAAAAATAACTTCGTATGCACAACAGCAAATAGTCTAAACCAGCAAGTTGTCAAAAGACACTGCGCCGTGTTCCCTGTGAAGGTTACCTTTGATGGCACACGACACAACAATGGCGGGCTTCTCCGCGACGTTATTGTCGTTGACCCAGTAGAGCACTACAGGGGATGCACTGTAGAATGAACTACGTTGCCCATACAGACGTTTTAGTGCTTAGCGCCAGCTGGTATCGCTGATGTAATCGTCAGCGTATAGGCTTAAAACAGACTCGAAAAAAGCCCAGCACCCAGCCGGTTTCCCTCCACTCACTGCACAGACTCCCAAAATATCCCCTTCGACTGTGAATTTATCTTGAACGGGTAGTCTTTCTGTGTTTTTTTTATGTTTTCTAAAACAAGACACAGTTAGGCTCTCGCGTGACCCTCCAAAAACCGTGTATGTGCGGGTGGTCTGTTGGTTGTATGTGCGAGTGATTCTTCCAAAAAAAAGTTGAACCGACAAACCTGCTGACGCCGCCAAATCACAATTTGACTTGATATTAAAGGACAAACTTGCAATACGTATTACTCGCACCCACATACGAATTGGCTCTTGCTACGCGAAGAAGACCTGCTGACAGGTCATATGCAGGGGTTTATCTGTCAGTTTTGCGAACTGACATCAAAAAGGCGCCAAAGACCCTAAAAACATGTGATTTTCGGTGCTTTCCACCGGCTCCCACGTACGTGCGTGGAGATTGCGAAAACCCCAACAGACAAAACCACAGCTCCTGTTTCTGCGAAGGTCGCACAACAAACCGCACCACAATCCACCACTCCTACGCCACACAGCCCGTCTTGCAAGATCGAGTACTGATGGGTAACCAACGGACCAAAAACAAAGGGCTTTCACAGCGGAGAAAAAACATAAATATCGCTCGCAGCAGGCGACTTTGGTAGCTGAAAATGGGAAGGACTTGATACAGAGGGCGTCTCAGCAGCGGTACGACAGCGTCGTTCAACGCGGGGACGTTGCCGCGCTGAGCCGCAGCCGCGACGTCGCGCACGCAGCCGCGGCCAAAGCGCGTGAAAGTAAAAACAAGGCGATGGCAGCCAAACGTAGTGCGGAAAAAGCAGCGGAGGAGGCGAAAAAAGTTGCGGAGGAGCAGCAGCGGCTGGGAGACTTGGCAACCGCTGCGGCGGAAGCCGAACGCGCGAGCAGGGTGAGGGCGGAGGAGGAGAAGCGTGCGGCGGCGGAGAAGCTGGAGGAGGAGCGCCGGCGGGTCCAGCTCTTGACGGAGCAGATCGCTCGTCTGGCTTTGGAGAAGAAGGAGCAGGACCGTCTGCTCGTAGAAATGAGGGAGCAAATTGGTCTCACAAACCAACGAGAAACTCCGGCTCCGACGCGCTTTGCGAAAATCACATTACGGCTGTCCTCGCTCCGGGCATCATCAGTTGGTGCAGGAGAAGAATTAGTGGGTTGGGCCTGAGCCTCAGCGGCGTCGTCAGCCATTTCGAGACGACGGTCCGCACGGTCGTGGTCCCCGTAAAGCTGGGCGCAGCAGCGCACCACACACACACACTTTATGGCGACTCTGCTGCTGTTGCGCATCCCAAAACCTCACGCAAATATTTTCAAAAAAAATCACGCTCCGACACAGGTGTTGGCGGTCTGTTGGTCTGAAAGTTTTCAAATAGATGAGATTTCATTGGTCTGTTAGGGTTTTTTTTTTTATCTGTTCAAAAGTAGCTCCGTCAGGACACGAAAAACGCGCATACAGAGGGTCACGCGAGAGCCTAACAGTGGCCGCTAAACATGGCCGAGAGAAAACATCTGCTTCCCTCCGTCTTCCTCTCGTCAGGCACACCTTTTGCATCTCCTTGGCGGGGAGGTTCCCAACCTCGAGCTTCTCGTGAAGAGTGTCGAGATCGCAACCGTATATCACCTTTCGGAGAAGTAGACCAAACAAAGGCGGGAAAGGGACGTACAAAACAAGGAAAACAAGTGAAACCACGCAATCTTGGGCAAGAATACGACGAAACAGTGGCACAGCAAAAGGCAGCACCGGATTGGTCGAAACAATTCATCGCCCTAGCGTAATAAATGATTTTGTTAATCGTAGCTGATGTGCCGATGTAACAGTGGCACGAAGCCTCACCGCCGTGTTTCTTCATTTCAAGAAAATCAAAATCAACGAAATAAATACCGAAATACAGCGCAGTAGTGGCTGCGCACAGGACAACGGCACAGAAAACAGTGAAGCATACATGCCGCCACCGCGACCTGAACATGCCCCTGGACGGTCTGGAGGACGCGGACTCTCATAGATAGGCTAACCGCCACGATAACCTAGCCGCCTTGCTTGAGAACAGCAACACCACCAGGAATAAGAACAGCAACAACAACATGACAACACCAGCACCGGCACCAACGACAAAGACGAGTCAACAGCAACAGAGACTGCAACGACGATGACGACAACAACAACAACAGCCTGCGGACCTCCTTTGCCAACTAGAGTGTCATCGTAGCCGTCAGAAAATTTACAACTTAGTCCTGTATACCTCTAGAGGGTCAATGACGTTTCCGAGGGTCTTGCTCATCTTGCGGCCGAACTTGTCCCGGACCATGGCGTGGAGGTAGACCGTCTTGAACGGCAGGACGTCGGTCAGCTCCAGGCTCATCATCACCTGTTCGTTCGTTGATTGTTGAGCACAGGAAGGAAGAAGAGCAACATCATCCTCTGGGGGCTACAGGGAACCGCCCGCACGATCACGTGCGTACTCCCACCACATCCTCGGGGGTTACGGGGAACCATCTGCACTACCACGTGCGTACCCCCGAGGGGTACACATCCCTCTTCTCGGTGTGTACGGTCTCGCCATCTTCCGCCGTGATTTCTGACTTTTGGTCACGGACGGTGGCTGGCTAGACGAAGACCGCCGCGATCCGTGGGAGATATCTGCTAAAAGCTCCACAGCAATTTACACACTCACCAAAAGTGCCGCGCACGTTAATGTAAACTACCAATACTCTCTGCTGCCGTCGAGGAGCGAAAAGCGATCAACCCGGACACAAGACGAAACGGCACAACGATACGGGCGTGGGCGAAACCGTGCGTGCACGGCCTTTCGTCTACACGCCGTCTGATCCTCGCGTAGTGAGGCGGAAAACAACCCTCCGCAGAAAAGGGCTTCCATTGTTCTCGAACAAAAAAATACACTGTTCAATCCCCACCCCCGCCTGAAACAGTCACGGGTCCTCCTTGAAACTGAGCCCCCGCCTACCTCTTGTAGTTGACTCCTGTCGCCATCTCGGCATCCCCGCCGACCAATAAAAAAAGACAAGAGGGGATCGTCCTCGACGAACGTTGGGGACATGCCACCCCGTTTTCAAGGTCAAGGCCATCCCCACAACACGCCATGTTTCTTGTTTCGGCCCCACACAACCCGCTATTTGTTTCCTTGTCGTGGCACCCACACACAATGCTATTTTTCATGTTTTGGGGATCCACCAGACTTGTTTGCTCCCTGCGGGTAGACTTCCTCGCAGACCCGGTTTTCAAGGTCAAAGTCACCCCCAAGAACATGCTATTTTTCCTTGTGTCAGCCCCACACTCCCCGCTATTTCTCTTGTGTTGGCCCCCTACACCCTGCCATTTTTCGTATTTTGGAACTCCCCCAGATCTGCTCCGTCCGGGTGGGCATCCTCGTAGACACTGTTTTCACGTCAAGGCCATCCTCACACGTTTCCTTGGTTTCCCCCCCCCCCCCC